ACTTTTCATTTTCAACAAAATGAAACTGAACTCAATCAACTCACAACAAATATAATTTCTTTCATCCGTCCACAAAATTATTTTCAAATTGCCTATGTACCTACGTATCAAGCGCCGAAAGTAAATTTCACTGTTCCGATATAGTATATTACATTACGAGTGTGGAAAGTGACATTTTTCACACGAGTGGGAAATATTGTCGCACGAGGCACAAGCCGAGTGCAACTATCACACGAGTGTGGAAGATCACTTTTTACACAAGTGATGTACAATATTTTTCCTACGACCACAAAATAATTTCATCAAAAATGTAAAACCAGGTTAAAATTCTGCCCCCACAAGGATTTGAACGCGGTCGCTCGGCAGGTCTCAAATGGCAAAGTTAATCAAGTTTGATACTATAGCAACTGAGCTAATAGGCCTTGCGTCAATTGAATGATCTAATCGGTTATGTATTTAACCAGAATAAAAAGCAAACATAACTTTAGTTATTTTAATAATAATTGTTAAAGATAAATATCTAGGATCTTTTACAACAATTTTATTAAATTTAACGATCATATCGATTTTAGTATTAATATGGACATTACAAAGATCAAAATAAAAATGATCCATTTGACATTTTGTGACAGCTGCTGCGGAAAGTAGCATATTCGTACACGAGTGGAAAGTAAATTCTTATTCATACGCGTGTGATATAGGGCACTTTCCATAGTACTATATAGTGTGATATGTGTCACTTTCCTAAGTGGTCGTAGGAAAAATTATTTCATCCATCAACATAGGCGCCGGAACTCAAACATTGCTTTGGGTGCCCGACCTCTATGCGAGAAATGGGGGCTCCCCCTCTCCTCCACAACCCACTTAGGGTCACCACCGGTTTTTTAAAAGCCATTTTAAAGCGTTGATTTTATGAAAATGTTCTTGGAAAAAAAAGGTATTGTTAAATGTCGAATTGCTGGAGTTTTGAGGATTAAGAATTGAGGATTGAAGCGACAGACGGGAGTTCCAATGAAATAAATAGAAACGCAATATAAAACATTTATTAACTATCATGAATTTAGAAGGAGATTTTTAATGATTTATTAATACACATATAATGGAGTACTGTATGTATACAGGGTGGACATTTGAAAACGAAACAGAACCAATTTTTGGCACCTCATGTCATTTAAGAAAAAATATTTTTTGCCAGTTTCACCCCCTAAACGGAAACCCTCTAGAGGGGTGAAACTTACCCCTAAAATGTTAAATGAAAAGAGGGTTCGAATGTTATCTTATTTTAAAGGTATTTTTACATAGATTATAACACCCGAGTTTTAAATGTCTTCCTAGCCATGATTTGATGATATTCATCAATTATCCGTTGTCGCAGATTTTCCAGTAATGTTGGCTGGGTGGCATAAATTTTAGTTTTTAGGTGGCCTCATAAAAAAATCTAATGGGGTTAGATTCGGAGACCGTGGGGGCCACTCAATACTTCCTCTTCATCCGATCCATTGACCTGGAAACGTTTGACGAACAGTCAGTGCAAAATGGGGTGGCACACCGTCTTGCTGGAATATTAAGTTGTTTGCTATGTACACATCGTCATTCTCAATCAACTCTAGTAATGCTGGATAAATGGCGTTTTCTAATAATTCCAGATATATTTCTGCGGTTAAAGTTCCAAGTAAAAAAAGATGCCAGTTACACGGTTACCAAAAATTCCAGCGCAAACATTCAGTTTTTCTGAATGTTGCGTATGTACTTCATGAAATATTCTGGTATTTGAATTGGACCAATAACGACAGTTATGACGTATTACCGTACCATTTAGGAAAAAATTAATTCGTCAGAAAAACACACGTTGAAAAGAAATTGCTGATCATTTATTTTCCATTTCACGTTTTTTGTTAGCTACTGAACCTATTTCCCAAAATTTTTGAACTAACTCCAAAATATACTTTCGATGGACTTGTCGATTTTGATGTTGATTGTTAAACAGTTGGGCAGTTCTATTAGTACATTCATTGTTCGCAAAAAAGTTAAATTATTTGCATCCACTTAGCAATTGAGTAAACCATTATCACTGATATGCCACTTTTATGCCGACTCTCTAACGACATAAATTAAACCTTACCACTTTACGGCGACCAAAAAATGTCATTTGATAACAATAATTAAATGCCACAATAAGAATCAAACTAGAATTGTTACAAATAATTTCTTTTTAATAACAATTTACAAATTATGTTAAACCGGTTTTGTACTTTTGTAGCGATGCAAAACTCGGGGGTTATAATCTAGATAAAAATACGATTTTAGGGGTGAGTCTCACCCCCGTTAGAGGGTTTGAGTTCAGGGGGCGAAAATGCCTAAAAAAATGTTTCCCCCTAAAATCAAAAATTGACGGGTCCGATCATTTTTTAGTAAATTACTTGGGTTACTCGCGAGCACTACTAGAGAGCTGTTTCTAACTCTTAATGAACGTTCTTTTTTAACGGTGCTTGATTATTTGGAGAAACTTCCATATTTTATCCATTCTCCCCTCAATCATTTGCTCGATAGCATATATACATAAGTACAGAGCTCTTGTCTTGATAATTGTAGGCTGTTATTATTCGTTCTTTTTTGACGTCATAGTGTTTTATACACCAAGAATAATAAACACATAAGTCCAAGTTCAACGCGTTTTTCAATGACAAGTGACGGCGACTTTGTTTTCACAAAAAATACAGCCTCAAACGATAATATTTTCAGAAATTGTTTTTAAAAATGGGTTCAGAGTACGGTAAAGAATAGTGGAAAGTCTATATAGTTTGTTTTACTTTTAATGCATAATATTTTAATGAGTGATATTTAACAAATATTTAAAAGTTATGGACTTTCCACCATTTTTTATAGTATTTAAAAGCTAAAACGCAACTGTGCTAATTCGAGACATATGTTTTATTAAACTTATCGTGTTACGAATTTCTTACATTAAGAGATAGAAATTTAAAGTGACGTCTTGTATTACTTCTAATAAAAAATCGTTTTCTAAATCAAGGAAAAAGTTGAGTTGGGTCTTAAGAAGAAAGCTTTAATATTTTGCATTAGCATTAGGATTATCGCAACCTGCAACGTCACAGCTCACAACTCTGAAAGCCAATGAAAAACTGATGCCGTATCGAGGCATTCTGTTGCTCTACCAACTTGAGCCACGACATCTTCATTTCACTTGTTGACACTTTTTGTCAACGTTGGGCTGTGGGTGCTCCGCACCCAGTTTAAAATTGCTCTGGGTGCTTGCGTGATCTTCAACCTATCTACGATTGTCTGAACTAAAATGTTGGTAAAGTAGGGTTCGCTGAGTATATTATTTGAAATTTCGGCTTGTATTTCAGTACCTAATTTTCTTCGTTATTACATTGATTAGAGAACTGATTTCAACGTGATTGTATTTGGTTATTAATAGAGAATTTATTTAACTGCTTGAAAAAATCATGAAATTTTTGTATAATTGTTTAAACATTTATTTTTATTATTCTGAAAACTACATTATTTATATTGGCGTCAGCAACTGCTCTGATTTATTTTAAAAATGTCTACCAAATCTTACCTCTTTACCTCATATAGTGTTCAAATTCTTTTGGAACTAAAATTAAATGCAATTAAACTCTCGCCTTAATGAGCACCGCTTTATTTTATTATATATTAATGAAGCAGCGGTGAAAATAAATATTCTATCTCTGCTGTTTTCCTTTAGATAGAATCCAATGTCTCGGGCTGAATTCTCGATTTTTATTCCGAATGGGAAAATAAATTTTGTTTTCGTATTCTCGATATAACCGGTGGAATGTTTTCCTGTGAGAAGTATGGGAATATATTCCTATTCTTGCTAGTTTTCCAATGGAATTTGTACTAATCTTTTTGTGCATTAAAATCGAACATTTAACGAAAGACAACACGACATAACCAATAAATAAAGATTATCTTGGGTAAAATGATAGTTAAATATTTTTTTTGGTGTATTTGTATTTTTACATGTGTGTAGTTTTTATTTGAATAGGGATATTATTTTTACTTGTTATTTTATTTGTGGTATCCCTTTCACTAAGAAACTGGATGAACTAATCCTCTTAAAAAGAAGAAAATTCTTTGAATAAGAGTTGTTTATGATATCATTATCTATTCCTATTCCTATGCATGATTTGTCTAAAATAGACTGTAGTGCAGAAATTTAATATTTTTCATTATTTCAGTTGCCAATAAAGATGAAAAAAATGTTTCAACTAAAATGTAAATGTGTGGAAAATTTGTATCTTCAATTCATATTGTAGACACCTTTTATAAGATGGTCCGTACTCAATATATTTGATAACTTTAGGGATAAGTCATGTTAGATATTTTTTAACAAATTTTAACCATTCACCATTTAATTTAACTTGACACCTAATACCACATAACTTTACCATTTACTTTAAATTTTTTCAATAACATACTTTTGCGTGTGTTTCCTATCTATTTCAAAAATGAGAGTTGAATAACATTCTTGGTCTAAAAAGAGAAGACCTGATTTTGTAATTTTAGATAAAAACATGTCTTATAAATATCAAAATAGCGTATTGGATTTAATTTTAGTAAATTGTCCAAAAACAATTTGTTTTGTACTAGTAACAGATAAATCTACCTGTAATTTTAAAAGTCATTAGAAACTAAAATCAAGTAAATTATATATTTAACTCGCTAACAAATTGTGCAGCGTCTCCCCCTAAGACGAATTTAAATCCGCCACTGCCACCGTTTCCATGGGAATATATATTCCAGTAAGTTCGAGAATAGCATAAATGGGAAAATTTTCCGGTGAATTCGAGAATCGGGCCCCTGATGTTCTATTAGCCAGAGGAGTAGTTGTTTTCCGCATAGAAACAGTCGTTCATATTTTTTTGCGATACATGACTTAGAGATTTTATTGTTTTCTACATTTAAAAAATATGCGATTTCAGTGATGCTAACGAACGAAAAAAGTTTCTTACCCCACTCTGCGCTAATCAAATTTGCTTCCACAAATTCTAGATCTTCAGAGGACTTTAGATTAATAAATTTCGTTATTGTAGGATTGTCTATAGTGTACGAAACTCTAAAATAAAAGATAATGAATTTTTCGCTTCTTAAAAAACGTCCTAGACTTACTGATACTTCTCATATGCCAATATTTCGTTGAAGTTGTTTCCCACTATGAGATACATTAAGGATGACAAATTGACTGTACATTTTTTAGAAACATCAGAAACATTTTCCAATAATATCATTATTTTTAATCCTTGATGGCACTTTTCTAAAATCATAGAATATCTCGGAATATTTCGCACTTCGTCCAAGAGATAATTACCGAACGGAGGCTTCCTTTTGACAAACTAAAATTTTTTTCGGAATGTTGAGACACAAAGTCAATATTTTGCGAAAGTAAAGTAAATATTTTGAGAAAAAAAGTCAAAATTAAAAAAAAATTGTAACAAGAAAGTCAACCATTTGAGAAAAATGTTTAATAAGAAAAAAGAACAGAAAATGACGGATCTGATACCTGTCATACATAATTTGAAAGACGGTAAACAAGCGATTTTCTCTTTGATTTAAATGAAAAAAATATATACAGTATCGGCTATCGAACACCTTCCAATACGGTTTGCATAAGTAGATATGAAAATTACTGAGAGTTAGCATTAGTGGGAGCAAGAAACGAATTATACCAGCGTTGCCAGCTTATACACGGCCCGGCCAACGGTACAACGCGGTCGGACCGTATAAACTGGCAACGCTGATAATATTTTTTTCCTGCTTGTCCTAATGCCAACTCCCTATAGTTTTCACATCCACTCGTGAAAACCGTATTGGAAAACGTTTAGTGGCAAACATTGTATATCGAAGATAAATAACCGATTCACTATTTGATTAAAACTTAAACTTATTATCAGTTATTTATACAGCGCGGATGTTGTCTTATCCCCTGTAATTTGCGATTATATAAAAATTAAGAAATAAAACTAGTAATATATATGAAGGTGAGCAGGCTGGAATTATATTAATATAATTTTGTTGTTTATTTAAAATTAGTCTAGCGCTTTCGGATTGTTAGACTATCATCAGGACTCTACTAGCCATCGATGTAAATGTAAAAAGGGGAAAAGTGGGTTGATCTACAGTACTTAAGCCTCACAAGGCTCATTGTGCATCCAGCCGGGGCAAGTAGGACCTGCCTCTCAGCTCTTCAGAAGCTGGTAGACAAGTGGCCAAGAGGTGTCTAGGGATATCCAGTCTCTTAGCTCGTTAATCGTGCAGGCTAATAACGTTGCCGAAGCGTCACTAGATGCCTCACTTCTAAAGGTGGCCATTTAGTGGGCTATACCACCCCGATGGCAAATCCAGGATTGAGATATCCTGTCGACCCGCAGCACAGGGGGATCCTCTAGGGGCACATAGGAACTGCCTTTCAACTCGCCAAAAGCCTGCTGGTGTACAAGTTGACGTGAGGTGTTTAGGGATAGCCAGTCTCTCGGCTCGTCAAAGTCGTGCAGTCTTATAACGTCTCCGAATCGTCACTAGACGACCTATTTCTGGAAGTGGCCATTTGGTGGGCTCTTACCACCCCGATGGTAAACCTATAAAGGAGATATCCTGTCGGCCCGCATCTTCAGGGCTATATATACTCGTAGTACTTAATGACATTAATATAACTTTAGAAGGACATGTATAGGAACAAAAAATATTAAGTCATAAATGAAGAGCACACCAATTAATATACAGGGGTATTCCGTATAATAATTTTCCAATATTTTAACGGCATATAATATGCTGAATGCTCATTGATAAGTACATACTAAATGAATTTACAAGAGAAGTTAATTCAAGAAAATGTCTTATTATGATGGAGTTATTAAGAATAAATTGTAATCTACACTAGATTGATTTAAGTGATAATATAAACATTAGCGAAAGATAACACTGAAACAATGTTTAAATGTGAGGAGTGATCTACAAAAAATGTTTCTAAAGTAGGCTTTGGAAAAATTCACGCATTTAGTAGCTTACAACTCTTCTTCTTTTTAATCGTTTAGATTTATTTCAGAGCCGTACGTAGTTATCACGGACATGACATATCTTTGTCTCTATCGGTCATGGCATACTTTAGAAACATTTTTTGTGGATTACTCTTTATTATTCTACTTTATCTATTATGAATTGAATATTTTAACAAAAATCGTATCGTCCGAATTGATTTCAACCGCCCAATATTTATCGTATGCGTTTTCATATTAGTTTTTGCAAGAAATTAACGAAAAACCGAATAAAACTCATTTAAGAAAATAAAAATGAATTACTCTCTTTTTGTTTCTTTTCTTTTTATTTTTAATATTTCCGCAGAATCAACTATGAAAGAACCCAAAAAATACACTTATTCAATTCACTTTTTAAAACAAGTTATACAATCCACCAATGGTTTGCAAATCCGAATCTAGAACTTTCGAAGAGGTTTTTTTCTTTTTGACCCTCATAGGAAGATATTAACCTTCATCGTACGGTGCGAGATGTAGACGTACCCACTGTCACAATTTTCAGGATATTTTCGTAAAATTTTAATTTTCGGCTTTCTCGATTTAATTTATTGTCAATTAGCACCTTTTTAATATATTTTTCAGAAATTTACGTTTATTTTTACCCTGCACCGTATTTCGAGTTTGCGCGATTCACGTAGGAATGCAAAAACTGAATTTATACTTAAGGTACAAATATACCCCGCACCGTATTCCCTGTAATTTTTTTAGCATCGTACGAAGAATGTTAAGTTCACGTCACGTTACTTTTTAAACTTTTTAGACTTTTTCTCAAAATTTTTACTTTTTAAAACATTCTGTTGGTGGCACTAACAAGCCAACGTAAGAATATCTACAAATGCGTCAAAATGCAGTTTTTGGAAAAACAATGGAAAATGGTAGAGGAGACAGCAGCTAAGATAAGTAATATACTAGGACCATTTTTTTAACCTCCAATGAGCCATTAATAAAAGTGTACATAAAAAATGATTTTATTATTAAAAGTTATATACACTTGTATACACCATATATAGATACTACTATTAGACATAATCACAGTAAAGATTGAGGCATTTCTCGTATCTGTGGACAATTCCAATAATCTTCTCATCAAATGTTGCCATGAATGAATTTAAATGAGTCTAGAAGCTCCTTAATTTGGAAGAGCTGCCCTCCGAGCTGTCTTTAGTTCAGGGAAAAGATTGAAGTCACTCGGTGCTAGGTCGGGACTCTTTTGATCCACGACAACGCCCTACCTTACAGTACTGTTAAAACCCAATGTATCGTTAAGCTATTTCAATGGGACATTTAACCACCTTCCATATACTCATGACCTATATGTCCATCTTTTCCTTAAGCTGAAGACATGGCTAGGGACAGCGCTGTCAAACTAAAGACTTTAAATTCATTGGTGGCAATATTTATGAGAAGGGTATTGGAAAGATTGTCCACAGTTAGATAAATGTCTCAATCTCTACGGAGATTATCTCGAGAAGTGTATGTAAGTGTATGTAACAGTAATAGAATAATTTTTTATAAACACTTGTCTTTTATTCATGGCCTATCGGAGGTTGACAAAAAAACAGCCATCGTATTTTGGAAAAAAAAAAACTTTAATCGGATAGAAATGTAAAACAGCGGCGATACTTTTAAGATAGATACATACAAAAGAGCGATGAACGCAATATTATCAATAGTTTGGATTGCATTTTACGGAAAAACAATAGAATATATGGGAAATATTTTTTTTTACCAATTCAATTTCGCGAGGACTGGACTCCAATATTTTTTCGAAAGTGGTTTTTCCCGCGTTCGCCAGCTGCGTGGCTAGGATACTTCCGATCCCGTTCAACTGTTTGCTGACGAACGGTGAATCTTCCCACAATTTGGCGTGCAAACATTTTCCCAAGACGATCGAATGAAGAAGCGCGTTGTAGCAATTTTGGTTCCTCAGGCTCAAGTAGTCTATCAAACCTAAAACAGTTCAGAGTAAGCAATTAAATTTCATGTTTTTAGGTGCGTTAAAAAATATGATTGCTTACATTTTATTATGCGTTGTCCGTTTCTAAGTATCAAGTAAGATTCTGTTTGTATAGAGGAGTCTGTTATTTCTAAATTTCCAAGTACTGCCTGAATGATGCTAAAAAGGTAATATTAAAATATATTTCTAAAAAAAAAATTGAAATACATCATTAAATATTATTTGAAAATACTAACCAATTAACTTTCATGTCCCAAGTTTTAATTTTGCCATTAAGTGGAAACCGTATGGTCTGTTTTTTCGAATTCCGGTTCAACAAATTCAACGATTTCTTATCGTTCACTCTTAAACGCATTTCCGAAAATTCCTGACATTTTGATATCAGCGCCAAAATTTGAATGAACACTTCAGTGCCACTTATCTATAAAACAATATAATTAGATAGGTATGTACAAAAATGTTTCGTTAATTATAGAAAATATGAAAAATATAAACCTGAGTAAACATTTTCATCGTTTCAAAGTCGACGTAATATCTCGCCATCAATCGACCAGTCATCGTTGGTGTTACATTGATTTTTTCATCCATCGTTATCATCCCTACTCGCATTAGTTTGTTCAAATCGATTTGAAATATTTCTACAAAAAATAAAATATACACATAACAAATTTCATAAATACAGGCTCTAACTATTTATTCTGTATATTTAGCAGAAAGTTACTTTTGCTTGTGACCTTCAACAGGGCCGACGAGAGAGGGGTTAGCCGCGACTAAATCCCGGGGCCCGGGCTCAAGGGGGGCCCGGGCTCAAGGGGGGCCCGGCAGCTTTAGGTAAGGACGTTTTTATATTTTTAGAAGTTCGCCACAAGCCTTTCTTTTTTACTTAAGGACCTTTTTTTTTAAATGTGATTTTTTTATAAAATTGTCACGGGGCCCGAACTGGAAAATTTTCCCGGGGCCCGACCTGGCTCTCGGCGGCCCTGACCTTCAAGGTCAACTTTAATTTGTTATATAGAAGCATAGGTACATTTTTAAAAGCGACATGTTCTTTATTATGAAAACTACATAATTTTTGTCTAAACAATATTTGAATATTGAAAACGGATAGGCAAAAGACAAATGCAACAATACGTTAAATACAAATAATTAATTTAACAAAATGTAATGTTTATTTTTTGGTACGCAGCACCCTGCAGTAGCCTGCGGCTGTTATAGGAAACGTACAAATACAAAAAGAAGTGCAATGTTATGAATGTTACTAATCGCCCTACAGTGTGCTGCGGTCGTCATAAGTAAAAGTACGAGTAACAGAAGATAGAATAGTCCAGAAATGTCTGGAAATGTCATTACTTGTCAAGAAAAATGTAGACGACAGTTCGAAAAGATCACATACTTTGATTACTATACGGGGCAAGAGAGAAGTCCGACACGCCCAACATAGGGCGCGGCCATTTTGAACCCTATGACACAGTTTATAGCTAAAGAATCAGATCGCTCACTCTGCGTCGGCACTTTTTATCTCAATGTTCCAGTTTATACACTGCGCAACTTAGATAATACAATATATGACAACCGCCTATAATAAAACAGCAGTCTTCTGCGTATCCTGAATTTGTATCCCTGGAGTGGATGTTATTTTGGAACTTTCAACTGGTCCGAGTGAGCTAACTGATTCTTTAGCAATAAACTGTGACTCCAAAAATAATATTCACTGACACTGACAGCAGCAAGCAAAATATCAGGTGCGTTTTAATCATCCGCTTCTGCTTCCGGAATTGTCGGTTCAGTCGTTCTAACCTGTCAGATTAAAACAAGAAAACCGACAATTCCGAAGCAGAAGCGGATGATTAAAACGCACCTATTAAAAATGATGCGCCAAGATGTAGGCAACACGTAATAAGGGTTCAAAATGGCGGAGTTTTCTATCTCCTTTTAAAAGGCATTCAGAAAGCTGCGCAGTGCGACCATTCTCCGTATAGTAAAAGAAAATCAAAGTGTGTGGAAAAGATTCATTCAAGCAAGCTATATAAGTCAATGATCCTGACGTTAGTTTTCAGTTTTATGATAGACGTTATATGTTAATGTTATCAGTTGAATAGTTATTGTAAAAGTTGAGTTAAAATAAATTGAGATAACAAAAATCTGCGTAACATTATTTTAAAACAGTTTATTATTCTAATTTATTTACTCTGAGACACTTATTAATTTATTTATACTTAAATACTTATGCTAATTTATATATCATATATTAACTTGAATACTAATTTATGTGGACATTTGCTATATATAGATCTGTTCACAGCTATCTCGATTTCAACTTACTCTGCCGCAGCAACACAACCCATGTATATAAAAAGGTGAAGGCTCTTGTAGTTTCCACAAAATTCCTAGACTAATATTACAAAATAGCACTTTCGCCAAAAGCTGCAATTTAGTATCATTCATCGAACATTTTAATTTGTTCCAGACTGTTGACCAGCGTTCGCTATATAGTTTACCATTTACCATGGTCATAACATTAAATTGGGTTTCGAGAAGTTGACTTATTTCTTTAAATATATTTAGTAAGCGGACAAGGGTCGTAAAGGCCCAAACAAGGCAGAGAGGGACTTAAAGGATTAGAACATGGCATGGCTCGCATTACATTGCTCTCTACTTTAGAGATAGTTCCCCATGGACATTTTTCAAAACTAAAACGGAATGATTGTATCTGCAACTGGACCCTCTTTAACAATTTCCAGTTGCATGGATTGATTATATGAAAAATGACAGATACAGATTTTTAAAAAGTTTTACTAATTTACTTTAGAAAATAAAAAGTATTATCGGTCGCAAAAATTAAAAAAAAAATTGTTGTATTTTGGAAATATGTTAATTTTTATTTTTATATAAAACTTATTTGTTACGGATTTATTATTTTCATTTGCCATGTATTTTTTTATATTTTAAGTTTACGGAACCGATGTTTTGTCCAGCAATATCCCGAATTTTAATCACTCGAGTCCCTCAACAACAAAATTTCGAGTTGGCAACCCTAGATTATTGTCCACAACAGAATCATCCTCTATTTCACTATTTGTTTTTTCGGAAGCGTTATTAGAGAGTTTTAGCAAATGTACGTAAGATCTCCGCTAACGTTATGTTAAACATTCAAAGGGGTAGATTACAGAATATCGCTAAAGTATAACATTAACGGATGGTTAGCGGATGTTTGTTAAAACTCTCTATTAACTTTGTCGAATAAAGCTTAAAGTTCTTTTAAAGTTACATGAATTATGATAAGAAGTTCCGCAAAGTAGGTACCTACTTACATGTAAGTAAAATCTAAAATATTTGCTTACGAAAAAGATCAATTTTTCAACGTCTCCTACTTTCATTAGGACTGATAGTCTTATGTTTTTTTCCACTACTTTTATTTTTATTACATCACCCAGACAGCACAAATAGGTCTATTGGACTTCCATTCGATATACAATTTTGGATGTCTGGACGTACAAAGATGAGTTTTTTCTGGACTTCCGACATCCAATGGACGTCCAGTGAGGTATACAATAGGCACACTTTTGACCATTCATACATAGGTCGTCCAGTTCTGGATTTTATTTGGACGTTGAATACTGGACATTCAAAAAACATCAATTCCTGGATTATTTTATATTATTCCATTGAGATCCCCACTATTTTTACATAACTGCAACTCACCACACACTATTTTATATTTTTAATAATTTATTTATTATTTTCGCAACCCCCTATATTCACCATTTATTTTTTTTTATTAAAAATCACTTGACCAGAGCAGGGATCGAATTCACGACACCTCCATTGTCGTTCTAGGCATTCGAGCGCTAGGCGACCTCGAACAAGGAGCCACTTGAAAAATTCTTACTACATACGGATATAATAGACTAAGATTTCAAACTTCCGCTGATAGAATATGAAATGTAATAGATTTAATTTGTCATTTTTTAATGACCAATTCTATTAAAAAAAGTGTATTATCTGGTAGGCTAAATAAATAATAACCTAAAATGGACGTCCACTGGACGTCAAAATATTATTAAATTAAAAATTAAGTCCAAAAACAGACGTCCTCTGGGCATCGATATGCAGCTGTCAAATTAATTATAAACGTACGTACACTGGATGTCCGAATACGGATATGGACGTTCTGGCCCTCAAATAGATCTAAAGTGGACGTCCATTGGACTATGTGTGCTGTCTATTTTCAATTATTTATCACATTTACCAAATTTAGTGATGTTTATAAATAATCACACTAGTAAAGGGTGTCTCAGAAATATTTTCGTTTATAAATACGTCAGCTGGCGCAATAGGCACATTCCTGAGAAAGTTGGAAAATGGTGACATACCTGCAGTGGTAAGTTTTAGTTGAAATGGAACGATTTACGGGACAATAACGTGCTTTTTGAATTCGTGCGCTTTATAAAAACAATGATTCTTATGTTCTTGTACAGAAATCATTAGAACATAGCCAGAATGAAATTATGTCCCAACTGCAAATTTAATGAAATATTGGTTAAGAAAATTTGAGAGTACTGAAAATTAAATTTGTACTTGGGATATCTTTCATTCTTGCTATGTTACAATGATTTCTGTACAAACGGCGTGCAAGAATATAAGAATCATTTTTTTTTTATAAAACACACGAATACAAAAGGCACGTTGCGGCCCCGTAAATTGCTCCATTGCAATGGGCCCGTTCACTTTCATTTTTGAATGTGAATTAATTATATATTTATAAAGATATTAAACTCTTTTTTCTGGTGGTACTTTTCCCGTTAAGATATTTTTGCTAGAAGTAAGGGAATTCCCATAAAATTCTTTCAGTTACTCATTGCGTCAGAAAACCCCTAATTCCCTTCAGGTCTCGTATCGGTTAATAGTTAAAAGGGCGCGGTTGTCGGATGTATTGCACCACCATTCCTCTTCTGCATTTATTAAAGAAATTTACATGATAAAAATATATTATTTTTTAAAAATAATGTGTATATATTTTCAGATAAAGCTGGAAGCTTTAGCTTTTTTAAATTTTAATGAAAACAATTAGTATTACTCAAGCTGAATATTACCAGATCGAAATTTTATTTGGGAAAATGTATCTGGTAAACGTGACAACGTTGTAAGTACTTCTAAATAGTGTTGTCTACACACACTTCTAGAAATAAATGCAACGTTGCCACGTTTACCAGATAAATATTGCAATTTAAATTTTTACTTTTTGATTATGGTCTGGTTAATTTTCAGCCTGAGTAATTATAATTGTTTTAATCAAAAAGTAAAAAATATGCTCCCAGCTTTAAATCTGAAAATATAAGTTCATGATTTTTAAAAAAATAATGGAATTTTACTATTTAAATTACATATATAAATGCAGAAATGGTATATTAGGGATACTTCCGACAACCCCGCCGTCTTTAAGCATAACCGATACGAGACGTGAACGGAATTAGGGATTTTCTGACGCAATGAGTCACTGAAAGAATTTTATGGGAATTTCCTTACTTCTAGCAAAAATATCTTAACGGGAAAAGTACCACCAGACAAAAGAGTTTAATATCTTTATAAATATATAATTAATTCACATTCAAAAATGAAAGTGAACGGGCCCATTGTC